AGCGGCACAGTTTGTGATAGCTAAAACTTGGAAACAGCCCAAATGCCCATCAACTGGAGACTGGATAAAGAAAATGTGTTTTTTTTAATAAAATGAATTCATACACTTTTTAAAAAGTAATTGCCTCTGACTCTTCCCATTATTTTGCCTTTTAAGTTTTGGGTTTGTCCTTATTGTTGTTGTTTTAATATATAGGAATGTTTTGTTAGTTAAATCCATTGACATTTTTCTCTTTAAGCTTAGAAAGCCCTGAGAAAACACCTTTCATTACAGGTGGTTCAGCATAAAACTGGAGTGCTCAGAGAAATTTTTTAAATTTATGAATGAGAAGAATCTGATCTCATGACTGTCTACTACAGTGACCTTCTCAGGAACTGATATTTTCCCTCTTTTTGCATTCTAGAACCCTGGATATTCACTATTAAGCATCCAGAAAGGGTCTTTCTTGTACACTGGTGCTTCCCAGGGCTCCCTGAATCACAATGGAGGAAGTAGTGGAGGAGGAGCCCAGGCTGGACAGGTCCCCAGCTCCTGAGGACTTTCACTTTTATCACATGGATCTGTATGACTGTGAAGACACACTCCAGAGCTTCCCAGAGGGAAACACTAGACTGAGGAGAGAAACAGTCCAAGCTGAGGGTGGGCCGGGGCAGGCAGGGGAAGGCCAAGCCCAAAGAGACCTCCAAGAAGTAAATGAATTCATCCATTTATATGGACTAGAGGATGACCATGAGTTAGGGGATGAGTTTCTTGATGAAGACAGGATGGGGAGGTCAGCATATCCTCCTTATGGACTGAAGAGGAGAGAGCCAGCCAGGGAGCAGCGAGACTGGAGACTTGGTGAAGAAGATGAGGCCGAGGACCAGGGCTATGCAGGGTGGGGCATGGCAGGCCAGAGCCAGGCCTTGCAGGAAGCGTACAGGTACACACACGGCCGCGCCAGTGAGGAGTATGAGTGCTACGTCATCCCAGAGGAGGAGGACGAGGAAGAAGCTGCTGATGTCTTCTGTGTCACTTGTAGAACCCCCATCAGAGGTGTTGAGAAGGATATTGATGAGCACAAGGAGCACGAAGTGACCCCACTCAATAAAGCCCTGGAGAGCGCCAAGGTAATAGGCTTGCTGGGGTCTTTGCCCGGGTGTCTCATTGTTGTTTCAAGGAGTTGGCAGGGAAATAATCTCAATGCCGTCTCCAGAGGAGACAGAGCAAAGGTGGCATTGACACTTTCTCTGTGATGCTCTATTGTACAGGATGAAATTCACAAAAACATGTACAAGTTGGAGCAGCAGATCATCGAGATGGAAAATTTTGCAAGTCACTTGGAGGAGGTTTTCATCACTGTGGAGGTAAGAGCGTGCTTGGCGACCTCCTCAGACACATATGGCTTCCCTTAGCAGCCAGTGCGAGCAGCCAGCCCTAGTGTGTATTAGAGAACCCATTTCCTTCTCACGTGAGCTGTCACCACTGCTCTGTCCCTCACCCTTTCTCCGACCCCCACAGCGGCTGGGCACATACCTGTGGCACACCCTGTGTTCTGTGTGCTATGGGTAAGGAGGCTGTGTCTTCTGCTCGCACACTCCAGCCCTATGCCAAGGGATGTGTTGGAACAGGCATTTATACATGTTTGTTGCATGAATAAATGAGGCAGAAACTTTGCAAGCAGAGTCTTGTCCTTCTCTTTCTTGGGCTCCTTTTCCTCCTCATGTCCCTGTACCCAAATTGCCACTTGTTTGTGGCTTAAACCTCCTTTATTCTAACAGGGATTGCTTCATAGTGGTATCACCCAGCTGGAGAAGAATGAACATTTGAGCTCAACTGTTAAAAAAAAAAAATAACAGCCTGCCCCTTGGATTTTGGTTTATGTATTTTGGTCCATTTTTTGTTGCACACACTGAGACTCCCTTGGGTGCTACCTGATGCACCAGCGAGGTAGCCAGACACAATGGGTTCCGTGTTGTTTCCTTATTCTTTGGCGCTAATTGAGGGCCTTTGGAGTATGTATCATGTTAAAGACAAAGTCAGATGTGGGGTGTTATATTAGTCACTCTCTGGTCACTGGGACAAAGTACCTAGCACCCACAGTGAAGTAATAAGGAGTTTATTTTTAGCTCATGATTTTTAAAGGATTCAATCCACAGTAGGCTGGCTCCAACGCGGAAGCAGCATGGTGGAAGGGCCTGGAGGAGGAAAGGTGCTCACCTTGTGGCAGCCAGGAAGCAGAGAAGAGGAGCCAGGGACAAGAAGACCCCCTTCTGGGTCATGTCCCCAGTGACTGCCTCCAGCCAGGCCTCACCTCCTAATAGCACATTCAGCTACTGAACTAATCCATGGGTGAATCCATTGATGAGTATAGTGCCAATGATCCAATCACCTTCCACACACATCAGACTCTAGGGGGGACATTTTAGATCTAAACCATAACAAATATCAGTTTTCAGTTGTTTTCTGCAACAACATGCTCATTCTGCCCCTTATTGCTACTCAAACACAGACATCATAAGCTGGGCATGGGCCACAAAAATCAGTGTCATTGTCTTCATCTAGTTAGCCACTTTATAGACTTGCTGAGAGATCAGTAAGACTTTAGAATTCCAAGGTTGGAAGAGGCCTCCTCTCACTGAAGGCCATTCACCCTCCTCATCCCACCCTGGGGATGAGTGTGGACCAAGACTTTTGAGCTAAAACCCCCTGCTCTGTCACTCTGCCTACTGGTGGCTGCACAAAGCCAGGCCAGTCGTCTCTCTCAGGCCAGCCTCCACGAAGCTCTGGAGATGCCAATCTTGGCTTTGCCAAGTGTTTTTTTACTCAGCTGTTACCTGTTCCTTATAAGAGGAAGCTTCCCCAGGCCAGGCTGTGGCCTGATAGATATATAGCATGTCACCATGAGCCTTCCAGATGAGGTAGATCAGGACTGAGGATCACAGGACTTCCCTCCTAATGTTCGTGTGCTCTGCTTCTGTTAATGCAGCCTCAGGAACACCTCCTATGAATTAACAAGGCCCTAGGCTCCTTTCCCTCAAAGCTAGAACTTTTTAATACTCAACCTTAAAGGGAAGAGTGCCATCACATTGGCCCCTGCAGAAGGCAGAGAAGGGGCAAAGACTCTCCTTCCAGGATGAGGTGGTAGTGGGAGGGTTAAGAGTACAACAGCCAGCACACAACTCCTCAAACTCTGTTCTGTTGGTGTTACAGTTTGGATTTTCTTTTTCCCTCCTGTGGTACTGAGGATGGAATCAGGTGCCTCGCACATTCTCTCAAGTGCTCTACTACTGAGCTACATCCCCAGCCCTTTTTATTTTATTTTGAGACAAGGTCTTCCTACATTGCCCAGGAAGGCCTTGAACTTGTGATCCTCCTGCCTCAGCCTCCTGAATGGCTAGGATTACAAGTGTGCAACACCATAACCAACTTAGTTTGGGTCTTAAATATACCCCCAAAGCACATGTGTGGAAGGCTTGGTCCCCTGATGGTGGCACTCTTGGGAGATGGTGGAAACTTGAGGTGGGGCCTCATGGTCTCAGCCCTTTCCCCTCTCTCCCTGTTTCCTGGCTGCCATAGGGTGAGCAATTTTCTCCACTGTCTGCTTCCACCATGATTTTCTGCCTCACCACAGAACCAAAAAGAGGCAGGCCAAGAGTCAAAGGATTTAAACCATGTTATGGCTTGTGTCAGATGCGCCCCCTACACACACACACCAAAGCCTCATGCAGTCATAGGTGGGGCTCTTGGAAGTGGCTGGATCTAGAGTGTGTGCTGCTGGGCTCAAGAATGTGATGTTGGGACTGATTCATGGTGCGATGCTAGGATTAAGACTGCCCCACTCCGGGTGTGAGTGCTACATGCCCTAAGGGTAGGTAGCCTGGATAAGATATAAGAGAAAGAAAGAGGGTCACTGTTTGTTGCTTGTCACTTGCTACTTGCTGCCTTCTGCCTGCCATGGACTGCTTTTCCTCTGCCATGCCTTTCTGTCATGCCACCCTGCCTTGGAGCCAGCAACTACAGACTGAATCCTTTACAAACTGTGACCCAAATAAAACTTTCCTCCTTTAACTTTGGGTGTCAGGTATTTTGTTTCAACAACAAGAAAAAGTAACTAAGATAAACCATGAGCTAAAATAAATCTTTTCTCAGGTTAAGTTGATACTTCTCAGGTATTTTGCCTCAGCAATGGAAAGCCAACACAGCCAGGTTACTTTTTCTTTTCTTTTCTCTTCTCTTTTCTTTTCCCTTCCCTTCCCTTCCCTCCCCTCCCCTCCCCTCCCCTCCC